CAGGATGTGTGTGTGCTCCTGTGTGTGCAGGTGTGCAGGCGTGATGGACAGGATGTGTGTGTGCTCCTGTGTGTGCAGGTGTGCAGGCATGATGGGCAGGATGTGTGTGTGCTCCTGTGTGTGCAGGTGTGCAGTTGAGCTCATGCTGGTGGAGACCAGAGGTCGTCATCAATTGTCTTCTTCTGTCTCTCTCCACTTTAGTTTTTGGGACAGGATCTCTTCCTGACCCTGGAGCTCAGCGTTGTGGCTAGATTGGCTGGTTAGCAAGCTCCAGGGATCCCCCTGACTCTGCCTCCCCAGTGCTGGGATCACAGACATGCACCACTGTATGTGCCTTTTGTTATTGTCATGCTTATATTTATTCATTTATTGTGTGGAGGTGTGGGTGCTAGACATCCAAACTCAGATCTTCAGCTTGCATGGCAAACACATTGAATCCTTACCCCCTTCCTTTATTTTGGGGGACAGGATACTCCACATGTAGCCCAGGTTGAACTGGGCCTTGGAGTTTCTAGCTGCTTGTCTTAGACACTTGTATACTGGAATAAAAGATGTGTGCCATATCTGGCTTTAGTAGTAGCCTTTTTGACAGGAAGATTGAGTGTGTATATCCTGCTCTCTTCTCTTTCTTTTTTGTTTTTTTAGACAGGCTATCTTGTAACTCATTATATAGACCAGGCTAGCCTGGAACTGACAAAGATCCCCCTCTGATTCCCAGTTGCTTGGATTAAAGGCTTGTGCTGTCAGGCCTGACCTCTTCCTCTTTTGTGAAGCCCGTAGCACTGAGTGTTAGACCTCATTGCGGTGATCTTATCTGATCCCCACTTCCTAAGCTTTATGGGGATTAAGCCCTAGCATGAGTTTCTCTTTTTAAAAATGAAATCATTTTGGCTCAATTAACATGAGTTTCCATGTGGCAAATTATAGCGGTAATAGTCAGATTACAATCTCATTTGTATGTAGAATTTGGTCTTTTAAAACAGGGTTTATACGATTTAGATTTATTTTTATGTACATGAGTGTTTTGCTTGCACACTACATGACTATTGCCCGTGGAAGCCAGAAAAGGGTATTGAAACCCCTGGAACTAGAGTTATGGATGGTTGTTAGCATCATGTGGGTCCAGGGTGCACCTCACCCCCAAGCCCTGGCCCATCCCCAAGCCCCTTCCACTTAAACATGATAGAGTAAATATTGCAGGCTTTGCGGAGCCCATAGTTTCTGTCACAGCTACTTGCCTCTGCTGATGCATGATGCAAGCAGCATCCCTGAACGTGTGCCTGCATTCTGGTGAATCTTTGTACGAGAAGAACTGGTCATTGACTTGCAATTCAGAGCTGCTAATTCCTCATGGCTCAGTTTCAGGGAAATACACATCCCTTTGCAGGAGATGGAGATGATGCTGGCTATGATGGTCCACACCTGTGATCCTGGTCCTCTAAGACTGAGGCAGGAGGATCAGTTCAGGACCAGCTTGAACAATTTAATGAGACTCTGTCTCAAAATTAAAAAAAAATGAGTACTGGGGATGAAGCTTGGAAGTGGAATTCTTGCCCAAGGTGTGCAGGGCCCTGGGTTCAGTCTCCAGTACCTACAGAAGGGAGAAAGGAAGAGGAGTCCTATCAGAGGGTCGTCCCCCTGCTTTTTGTGGATGTTTGTCAAGGGGAGACTCCCTCGGAATGATGCATCTTACCTTTCTCCCTTTCAGACACAGGACCAGGACCTCAGCACAATTTCACCAGCAATCATCTTTGAATCAATGTTCCAGAACTCAGATGACCCTGCAGTTCAGGATGACCCTCTGCAGACAGGTATGCTTTCACCTTCACCCTTAATCAACTCCCCGGGATGCATAGGGAAGGTCTCCTTTTCAGTTTCTTGTTGTATTTCTGTGGACATTTTTCCTTCTAGTGTACTGCTCTGTTCATGAGTGAGTGGGACCCGCACATGAGGTTTCTGATGTGTAGGTAACACCGCTGGAATGGAATGTCTATACAATACAGCTTTCTAGGACCAGATGTCTTCTGACTAATCATGCCAGAAGGCTTGCCTCTTCTCTTTGCAGAAGAACCACGGGGTACTTTTGTTCTAGTTACATTTACTTAATCTTTATAAAGTGTGCTTGATCAGGAAGCCAGGCCAGCTAGCCGTGAAGTGATTGGCCCGTAAAGACTGTGTTTGTGGTGTCTATGAAGCTTGGGGCGTGGATACATGTTTCTTCTTCTTTTCCTTGCCAGCTGCCTTGATCGAAAGTTTTAATGGTGATGCAGAGTCAGTCAGTGACGTCCCACCACCTGCAGGAAACTCAGCATCTCTATCTCTTCCGCTTGTACTGCAGCCTGGCATCTCTGAGCCACCCCAGCCTTTGCTGCCAGCCTCAGCTCCGTCCGTTCCTCCACCTGCTCCCTCCCTAGGACCTGGTTCCCAGCCGGCTGCATTTGGCAGCCCCCCTGCTCTTTTGCAACCTCCAGAAGTGCCTGTTCCCCACAGCACACAGTTTGCTGCTAATCATCAAGAGTTTCTTCCGCACCCCCAGGCGCCACCCCAGACCATCGTACCAGGACTTTCTGTTGTTGCTGGGGCTCCTGCATCAGCCGCAGCAGTGGCATCAGCTGTGGCAGCACCAGCCCCACCACAAAGTACTACTGAGCCCCTGCCTGCTATGGTCCGGACTCTGCCCCTGGGTGCCAACTCTGTCCTAACTAATAATCCTACCATAACCATCACCCCAACTTCCAACACGGCAATTCTGCAGTCCAGCCTAGTCATGGGAGAGCAGAACTTACAGTGGATATTGAATGGTGCCACCAGTTCACCACAAAACCAAGAACAAATTGTAAGTATCACCCATAGGCACACCCAGTGGGATGAAGTGTGTGTAGCAGACACGTCCCTTCCTTCCTTCCTTTCTTTCTTTTCTCTAGTAGTAATAGGGATTGAACCTTCACACATGCAAGGCAAGTGCTCTACCATGAGTGGATCCTCAGCCTTCAGTCTTTTATTTCAAAGGGGAAATGGCTAGCTTGTCTGTCTTGAAACATGTATCCACGTAGCTATTCCCCCCAGTAAAGTGTTGCAGATCCTGGGGAATGGATCAGTATATAAGATAAAGATGAAGAAAAATAATTTCAAAGCTGACCTAGTGACGACATCTGAATAAATATTCCCTCTAAAGCTAATCACGTCATCTAGTGCCACACAGGCACACCCGGCCCGTGGCCTATGGGCTGCATGTGTCCCAGGATGGCAGTGAATTTGGCTCAGCATTAGCCAAAATTACAGGCTTATCATCACCCTGTAACGTCAAAAGATTGGACTCTTCTGTGAAAGGAAGCAGACCCCAAAGGCCCAGGAAGTGTCTGGGAAGCAGATCTATTTATTTTCTTCTTTTCTTTTTGCAATACAAGGGATCAGACTCATTGCCATACACATGCTGGGCTAATGCTCCACTACCAAGCACACCCCAGGCCCCAGGGTACTTTTCTAAGAATGCATTTGGTCTTGACTCTGGAAGTCACTTGACCACCATGTCAGTGTGCTTTGAGAGCCTAGTATTTGCCAGATTCTGTGCAGGAGGATACAGAGAAATGAAAGGCATGATTTATTTAAGATGTGCATTCAAGTAAAGAGACTAAAATATTAATATCACCACCAGGCAAAGAGCCCAATAACACCAGCAGTGAAGCAAAGCAGAACAAAGCCCTTTGGCTGAGCTCTCACTGTGTGTGAAAGGAGTAACTGTGCACTCTGTTAGGGTACTTGTTTCTGTTGAGGGGGGGCACATGTGTGCCCTGGCACGTGTGGAGCTCAGAGGACAACTTGTGGGAGATAGTTCTTGGTGGCAGGTGTTTCTACCTACTAAGGTTTTTTGTTTATTTGTTTTTGGATAGGGACGCTCCACAGAGCCCTAGCTATCCAGGAACTCACTCTGTAGACTAGGCTGGTGTTGAACCCACAGAGCTCTGCCTGCCTCTACCCCCTGAGTGCTGGGATTAAAGGCCTGGGCCACCAAACCAGGATCCACTAAACTCTCTTGTAGCCCTCTTTTAGTCTTTTCCAGTTTCATTTTTAGTTTTTGTGTATGAATGTGTTGTCTGTACGTCTGTCTACCTCGTGCTAGCCTGGTGCCCTCAGAAGCCGTAATAGAGTGACCAGCCCATACAAGGCAAGGTGGAGCCTGTCCCCAGAACTGTGCTACCTCTGGAGCGTTCAGACACTCAGAGGTTTGCATGGTCACACAGGTCAAGTGGGCCTTGAGCCATGGCTAGGAATTGGGTGGGAAGTGGGAGGAACTACAGAGGGAAATTTGTGCATGGGTTTAAACAAGCTGGAGAGTGAGTTTAGAAATGGCATGGCGACACCTGTGATGAGCTGATCAGGGTCACTGGAATGGCTTTCCAGTGTTGTCTCCCATCTGCCAGCCTAGAGTCTGCACTGTTTTCTGGATCTGCCCTGGGGAGCTGTTAAAGCAAATGTCATTCTTTTCCCATGTGAATCGTTTACATATATTTCACTATGGGCCTCATACCTATAACCCCTTTGCTCAGGAGGTATAGGCAAGAGAACTAAGTTTAAGGCCAACCTGGACTATAAAGCCAGATCCTGTGTCTCCACCCTCCTCAAATAAAAAGTAAAGAAAAAAGGGGTGTTGGGGGAGGACCGGACACTTGTGTCTCCCATCTCTTCTTTTTTTTTTTTTTTTTACCCCCTGTGCTGGGGCTAGACTGTGCCCGTGCCCTGCTCCTGGGCCACATTCCTCTGCCGGCCATCATTCTGTCTCATAGTTCTGTTTATATCTTAGCTAGAAGTCAGGTTCTTCCCAGACTCCTAGTGAAGCACGGATGGTGTGTCTTAAAGTACGATTAAAACAAAGCCCCTTTAAGACAAGAATGCAAAAATACTTTTGAAAATTGTTTTTATTTGTGGGGGTATTTTGCTTGCAATTACTTGTGTGTACCACTTGTGTGCAGTGCCTATGGAGGCCAGAAGAGGGCACCTGGAACTAGAGATAGAGACTGCCGGGTAGATGCCACTGTGTGCTACTATGTAGGTGCTGGGAATTGAACTCTGGTCTCTGGAAGAGCAACCAGTGCTCTCAAATGCTGAGCTCCAACCTCCAGCAACCCTTAATATATTAGGAAGTAAAGTGAGATTCTAGTACAGGATTTTTTGTTTTATTTTTTGAGATGAGGAATATTACATTAGATCTGGTCTCAAACTCACTATGAACCGAGGCTGGCCTTGAACTCTTGACAGTCTAGCTTTAGCCCACTGAGTGCTGTGTGCCTCTGCAGTTTGTGGTCTTTCTAGGAACACCACAAAAGCTGATGTGAACTGACTGCTCTGAGCTGAGTGCTCTCGTGTACCACCCCATTCTTCTTCAGCAGCCTTTGAGAGGCTCTTCAGTTAGCTTCCCAGCCTTTATAGGAAACCGGGGCTCTAATGACTCAAATCATGTGGCTACAGTCTCAGCATGGGAGGTAGAGGCAGGTGGATTGCAGATTTGTGGCCAGCTCAGGCTACACAGTGAGAACTTGTTTCATAAGACAAAACAAAAACAAATGAAAAAGTCCATTCATTTGCCCGGACATGAATCTGGTTTAGCCAAGTCCAAGACCCACAGCAGAACTCTCCTGAGCCTTTGGAGTCCTATGTGTTTATTATAGATAACCTTAACCTGCCCTGGGTGGTCAGCCTAGAGCCTGAGGGCTCAAAAGGAACTTTCCAGCTTTCACAAGAGAATTGGGATGGGCAAAGCTAGCCCAGAACTTCCTCTAAGAAGGCCATCACTTGAGAAAAGCAACCTCAGAGGAGTCTTTGGACAAATACAATCCACTGGACTAGGCAGCTGGGAGACAGCCAAGTAATGGGGACAAAGCTGGCTCTAATGCCAGCATGGAATGTCAAACAGCGCAGTGACCTCATCTCAGTGCACAAACAAAACACCCTTCAGTACAGACATGCCTCAACACTGAGGGTTTTCTATCTTCCTGGGGGACCACTGCAACTGGGGAGGCTTGGGAGCCTTGGATGGCCGCATATTGGGTTGGCCATAGTGTGATTTTGTTGTGTTGTGTTGTGTTTTCCTCAGCAGCAAGCATCGAAAGTCGAGCAGGTGTATTTCACCACCGCGGTGCCAGTAGCCAGTAGCACAGGTATGTCATTCCATAGCGGTAAAGCCACGTTCTATGGGCTCTTTGTCCTTGCTTCAGCTTTTAAGGGTTTTTAAATCACGAAACAGCCTTAATTAAGTTGACATTCCATTGTTTACTGAGAAGACATGTTCTCATGGTGACCAGAAGCCAGTGTGCTGCTGGTGAAAATGTGGGCTCCATTCCATTTACCCAGTCCAAGTGCTTTCCCTGCGATGGAGCTTGTAAGTGGAACCAGGGGAGAACGGCTAAATCACAGCTAGTGCTAAAGAGGGCAGGTGTTAATTCACGGGGCTCTTTTTTAATTACAGTAAGCAGCAGCAGCAGCAGCATCTGGGTCAGGGACTTAGCAGAGCTGAAAGGTCTTTCATTTGAGTGCAGTTTCCTTTTTCTCTTTTGCTGGTACTGAGGCCTGAACCCAGCAGCTTGTGCCTGCTAGTCAAACTTTGTACTGCTGGGCTTTCATGTGGAACTTTTCATGTTTTAAACCCAGAATCAGGCATGGTGGTGCATGTCTGTCCTGCCAGCACTGTGGGGCTAAGGCAGGAGGATTGAGAGAATTCAGCTCCAAGTTAGCCTGGGCTGTGTAGTGAATTCTAGTCCACTCTGGTAAAAATCCTGCTGTGGCAGGTGCACTGACATAGTTAAGGGGGTGAAATAAGGGTAAAAGGAAGGAAAGATAAAAATTGGGACCTAACCGGGCCTTGGTGGCACACATCTTTAATCCCAGCACTCAGGAGGCAGAGACAGGTGGATCTCTGTGAGTTTGAGGCCAGCCAGGGCTACAAAGAGAAACCGTTTCAAAACCAAAAACATTGGGGCCCAAAGAGATTCATTGACTCCCCCAGGATTGTAGTGAACTTACAAGAGAGATCTCTGAGCACCTTGTTCCCACTCTATGTCCTCTTAATAGCCTTCAGATCTGTTGTACACAGAACCTGGCTAAGTACAGAGCCTATGTGTGCATAATACACATGAAAGTGAATCGAGAATGGATATAGAGCATATGCGTGCACAATTCACATGAGCCAGGTGCTGGTGGCGCACACCTTTAATCCCAGCACTCAGGAAACAGAGACAGGAGGATCCCTGAGTTCAAGGCCAACCTGGTCTACAGGGTGAGTTCCAGGACAGGCTCCAAAGCTACAGAGAAATTCTATCTCGAAAAACCAAAACAAACAAAAAAATATACATGACCGTGAACTGAGAATGGATACAGAGCACATGTGTGCATAATACACATGAACGTGAACTGAGAACAGATGTGAATGTGTACACATGCCAGGCTGGCTGTGGAAGAAAGCAGTTGACATCTCCCATATGTCAAACATGGTCCTAAGGAGCTGAGCAGGTCCTGTGCAGTGTGGAGAGGGGTGCAGAAGGCAAACAGCAATGCTGTTCGTTTGCCTGGTGTTCAGCACTGGCTGTCGCAGATCTGTCGTCTGCACAGCTTGCAGGGAACACCACCTGGGGCAGGAAGAAAGCAGAGAGTCAGTTGGACCTTGAAAGATGAGAATAATTCTTCCAAAGAACAGCACTGTCTGCCCTGCCAGTTTAGGCAAAGGGACGAACCCAGAGTATGCCGACAAGAAGAGACGCATTTGCTATGGCTTACACAGATGGGCACCAGAGAGAGACAGGGTGCATTCTAGATTGTGTGGGTGGCTCTTCTAAGAAGGGAGCATCATAAAGGGATGGGGGAGCACCTGGCAGGCTTTTTCCCTGAGGAAGAACCTGGTCCAATTTAAAGCATAGCAAAACCCAAAGTGTGGCATCTTGCCTGCCTATCCTTCCTGGTCTCGGTAGCATTCAGTTCTTCCCAGTCCATACTCCCCCTCCATCTTGCCTCTGCTCCTCTCTCGCCTCTCCCACAGGGAGCTCTGTCCAGCAGATCGGCCTCAGTGTTCCTGTGATCATCATCAAGCAAGAGGAGGCCTGTCAGTGTCAGTGTGCCTGCCGGGACTCTGCCAAGGAGCGGGCAGCCGGCCGGAGAAAGGGCTGTTCTTCCCCACCCCCTCCAGAGCTGAGCCCCCAGCCTCCTGATGGGCCCAACCTGCAGCTGCCACCCTAGACTTCTCCCTCACCCTTGCCCCCCTCATCCTCCTCTACTGGACCCTCCTCCTGTGAGCAAAGCAGACAGGCTGAGGCTCCTCAGACCCTCCGAAATGTTAAGTGCCATGGATGTGTCAGAGTTCCTGTCCCTCACAGCCTGGACACCCCGTCCAATCCAGTTCCGAGTGAAGCACTACTGCAGGGTAGAAGAGACGGCCTGGCCAGCAGCTTCTCGGGGGACGAGCCTATGCACGCCCCTTCAGGAACAGGGTGAGCAGGAAGCAGCGGGTGTGATGCTGCCATCATGGGGTCAGAAATTGGAAGGATGAAGAAATCTGCCATCTGAAAGCCTCACCTTTCAGACGTATTTTCTTTACTCATATCCCAGGAACATCCATTTTAAGGAACTGATCTTTGGAGGAAAACAAAAAAAGAAAAAAAAGAAAAAGAAAAAAAAAGCTAAGTTATAAGTGGACTGTCTGGCTGCACTGTGTGTCACTTTTGCTTATTGTTATGTGAACTTGGAAACTAAGGTTACGTGTGCATAAAAGTTCTAAATGAATGGGTGTGGTTTCCATCAATTTGGTGCTGCCCATCATTGCACTGGGGTCCTTGTGGATGGGCAGGAAGTGCAGTGTGCTGCGTGTTGCTCCTCCCTCTCTGTCTTTTTGAATCTGAGGTGACATCTCTCTGGAGGGCCAGACCACTGTTCTGTGGAAGCGGGCAGTGGCAAGGGCAGGTGAGAGTTATGAGCTAGACAGGGTGAGATTGTTTTGTTCTTGGCGCTTTGTTTCTGTAGAGCTTGGAGTAGATGCAGAGGGGCCTGTCTTGTGTCCTGCTCAATCCAAGCGAGCAGCATCAGGCCCCTGGCCATGGGGATGAGGTGGTTCTACAGGGCCCTGAGACAGTTTTTGACAGCTCTGTTAATCCTGGCTAGAGCTGGCTCTAGCAAAGCCAAGTCCTTGCCTTCTGGGCTCTTCACATTTCTCAGTGCTTGTCAGGGCTAGAAGTTTGGACTGCATCTCTCCTAAGGAAACACCCTATTTTATCCATAGTGAATGCAGGGCTGATGGCCAGTGGCTGCCAGGGTCTGCCTGCTGCCTCAGAGCAGAAGGGCTGCTTCTCCCAAGAAGGTACAGAGCTAAGGGGGTTGGATGAAGTAGCAGGTGGTACCCAGGTCTAGCCAGGCTTTTGTTTATCCCCTCCCATCTCCATCCTCACATCTCTAGATTTTGCATATAGCCTTGCACAGTGCAAACAAGGATGTGATTTCTAAACAAAAAGGAATAAAAATGAAAATGATAATCTTCTACTCAGGGTAAAACAAAAATTCCCCTTCCACCAAAAAGCCTGAAGCTTGCAGTCAGTTACCTCATTTGGAATGTTTCATTAAGTTGTATTATAGGATTTTTTTTTTAAATTAGTGTATAGACTTGTGTCCATCTACCTGCCTTTGGCTCCAGGTTACTGCCTCTTCAAAAATAAGTACAATCCATAGGAAAACGGAAGCTTCTGTCCTTCTGCTGGTTTGGAAAGCTCCATGGTCCGGCCTGGGGTCTGGAGGTCTCGGCCTCCTTCACGGAGCAAGGTCCAGGGCCCAGACAAGATGAGAAAGCTGTGTAGGTTGCCCTCCTGGAGCCAGTCAGGATGGTGTCCTTTCAGAAGGCCCTTGTCTAGAGGCAAGGTATTCCCAAACAATTGACCAAGAGAGTCATGGCAGTGGTAATGGGAAGAAGTGGGTGCAGCCGACCAGGAAGCTTTGCGTCGGGCCCTTGATGTTTCTTTCTGACTTCTGAGGAGAGCAGTGAATGGGACGCCATGGGGTTCTGGTTCGCTGGGAGCTGACATAGGAAAGGGGCCCAGGGAAGATGTGTGGAAGGTTGTAATGGTTTAAATATGGCTTGGTTAGCTCAGGCTGTGCTCTTAATGGTTTCTTCCTGGGTCACTGGCTTTTCGTTCTCCACAGTTGCAGGTATGGAAGAAGCATTTAAGCATTGTTAAGGCTGACGTGTTTCCAGCTCCAAGAGTTAAGTATTTGTCTTTGTGGGTGGCTGTAGAACATAAGAGACTCTCAGCTTCAAATAGCTTTTGGAAATTGAGGAATGTGCTTAAAAACCAGTAGTTGTGCAGGGCCAGGTGTGTTCCGCAGGCTAGCCAGCCTTCCCTGCTGGGCCGTGTCAGCTCTCCTCCCAGCCTCCTCCCAGAAGCCCAGCCTCTAAGGCCAAGGACCCTGGCAAAACTAGAGCCAGAAAGACCCTTCCTGGAGAGTGGTTTCTCAGGGGAATGAACTTAGGGTAAAGCTAAGCACAGTGGATTCTGGCAGGTGGATGTAAGCCTTTTCTCCCTCCCATGGCAGCCTTCACCATTGTCACCCTGTAGAGCACACCTGGGCTACCACTAGCATCTCAGTTTAGACCCTTCCAAGACACTAGTCCACAAGGGTGGAGGGTGGACCTGGTGGATTTAAGAGGTAGTTAGGTAATCTTGGTCCCACCAAACTGCCTTATAAATGTGGTCCTTCCCAGACAGGAGGGCAAAGCTGAGCAAAGGTGGCTCAGTCTCCTCGACAGGGTCTGGGCAGCACTAGTTTGGTGACTGGAGTCGTGCCATTATTGACTTACTCAAGTTTAGAAGATCACCGGTACAGCGCTAAGGAGAGGCCTTGAGATGTGGGACCTCTCTAGGGAGAAGGCGAGGGGACTTCCTTTTGCTTCCAGAGAGTCAATACATGGGAAAAGGTGGTTTTTCCAAGTCAGGGCAGTGGACCGATGGGGTAATGGAGGTAGATGAGGCTTTGTATGATGCTGAATGTGTCCAGAGGGACAAATTTGCAGAACCTCATATTGGTATATTAAAGAAATAATAAAATAAAAAGCACTTTAGGTTACTTTATCTTTAACCCAATTGCTGCAATTTCTGTTGTGTATGTGTGTGTGTGTGTATACACACACACTTTCCACAAAGTTTTATTTTTTGCTCCTATTAAAAAGTTGAGGTGTGAAAAGAAAAGCACTTATTTCAGTGCAATACATGCGTAGCTTGACAGTTGTTCTCCCATGTGGCCCTGGCCCAGCCTGTTTTCCGTCAGCCCTGTGCTGAAGCTGTCCATAGGGAAACACTTCTGCATCTCAGCAGCTGCTCAATCTATGCAAGTCTTCCCTGTGAGTCCCAGGCGCCCCCCTCAGGCCCTCCGCGGAACTGCTGCAGCTGTTTTCTTCTGACTGTTGAGCCCCCTTTCTGCCACTTCTTGGTTCCCCTGCTATCCTTCCCCTCTTCACCATGACAAAATGATTCCTGGAAGGGCAGGTTGTTCCCTGTCCTTCTAGACTTCTGCACCTTCTAGACTTTCATATCTGTAATCACATCCACTAAAGGTAACGGCTTCTCCAGTGTCACTGAAACTCCTGATTGTGGAACTGCACCGCTATTGCTCGTTTACAGCTTTCTTTTCTACACCCCCAATCAGAAATATGTTGGAAGAAAGGAATGGGCAATACAAGCCATTTCTGTACTGTCCTCTGCACTACCTGAGTTGGCTCAAAGCAGACTACGGGCTTCCTCAAATCCCGTCATAAAGCCGCTAATAATCTCCCTCCCGGGCTCCCACCTCATCTTAAAAACCCTTCAGCCAGAGCAATTTTTCCACGCAGTCTGCAAGCGGTTCTGCTGTGACATAGCTGGGAAACCGTCCACCTCCTATTTGGGGTGGAAGACGTTCAACCGCAAAGCCAGATAATACATATTTCTGATTGGTCAATCTGTTTGGCCTGTTTCTGGAATATTTTTGGGGCAAAGATAAAAGGGTCTCATTTCTTATGCCCCAGTTCTTGGGAGGCTGATCATTAGCCTGGGCATTTCTCACTGTTACTCCTGGTGGTGAGAGGGCTTCTCGGTCTGCACTGAAAATGCAAGTTATTGCATCTGTCAAGGGATATTATAGTACAAGTGGGGTTTAAAAACCATGCATTGTTCCTCTGGTGGTGGCCTACTGGGCCAAAAACAAGTGATAATGTCACGTCACTTTCTCAACAATGCAGTTTCTACTTTTTTTACAGGAAATTTTTTCGTAAAACTTTTTTCCACCAAAACCTAGGGTGTTTTTGCAATATCCTCATTGCCCTCGTGGTGCCAAGTCAGAGGCTCGTCTGTCCTGGCCTCGTGTGTTCTCAGGCCTCCCAAGGGCTGTTAGATTCAACAGTCTGCATCTTTTGTTGTGCTTTGGAGAAAATGTCACTGAGGTTGGAGTTCCAGGCAACTATTCCCTTTTCCTGTGAACTTTTAGTTCCAGTTTGGGGAAGGTGGTTGAAAACAGGCTTTTCTGGCTCAGACCTAGCCCAAAAAGGCCACAAATTCTCTTTTCTAACACACACTAAATCATTGGCCAGTGGTCTTGGTGACAAGTTTTTAAGTCCCAAATAGTTTTATTTGGATTATGTAAAAGTATCAAATTTATTTTAAATGTAAAACATGGGAACAATGGACTTCCACTGAGCGATATGAAAACGTTACAGGTTCAGTACTTCCAAAGGAAGAAACTTCCAAACCCAAAAAAGAAATACGAATTTGTATTTTTGAAGAATGTGAAATAATGGTGTTTGCTTAATTGCTCATTTTGTATAAACTTAATATTGTACTTTAAAATATCTGCTATGAAGTGAAAATTTAACTTTTTGGAATTGAAAAAGCAATATTAAATACTAATGAAATCTTAATTAAATGCTTATTTAAATCTGGTAGTACCTGTGGCATTACTTCCCATCCCTGTCGCTGGGTGACATTCTCAACCCCACTCCCCACTGCCCAGTCATCAAGTCTTGGAGGGGGGACAGAAAGGAAAGGCCGGTCACCAGGAGTCTGCAGGTTTCCTTTTAATCAATACTCTGCTGAAGTGTTTTATGGGGCTGGGAGCCCCCAAAGCATGAAATGAACATGTAATACCACCTGGAACCCCCAAAGCAGGCCAGACCACTCTGGCCAGCACTGCTGGCCTGCCGGAATCCGAGTACTCCAGACTGGATATTCGTTGGCTACATTTCAAAACACAGTACTGCCTTCAGCCAGGACGACGTAGGAGTGAACCCAGCTGCTAGTAGAGTTGCCATCCCAGGCTGAGGGCCAAGTACCAGCAACTGCCAGTGAAGACTGACCCCTTTAGTGAAGGGAGTTGGTCAGAGTCCAGCCACCGGCCCTGGAAAGGGACAGAAGTCAGGGTGCCCGGCTAGGAAATGGTCAAGGCTCCGCAGCTCCATCGCCAGCATCCTTTGGAAGGCCACCTCTGGCGGATACAGCTGACTGGGGCGGCGTTCCGGACTTGGCTGAACCGTTCTAGTTGAAACAGAAAAGGGGGGAAATGAGCCTGGGAGGAAAGGCTTTAGGTTAGGCCCCGCAAGGATAAGGCCACTTGGCATCTCGACAATACCGTACTTTTTCAAAACCTCACCCAGATCAAAGGAGGTTAAGTGCGGAGAGGTGGGGATGCGCCTCCACCCTCTTCCTCTGGGGCGGGGGCGAGCTTGGCCGGTGTAGTCAGTGAGGAGACCCCACCTCCCCAGGCCCAGCCCGGAATGGGCACTGACCCCGCCACCAGCCGGCTCCGGACGCCGGCGGCCCAGCTGCCGCAGCATCTCCTCGC